GTGCATGATATATATTTTCGTGAAATGATGTTAATTTAAAAAAATGACATTCGCCAACTATAAAAAAAATTCTTTGAAATATAATCAAAATATGGTATTGCAAAATAATTACTTAAACAATATGACTTTTTCTATACGTCGGTTGCAGGTCTATCTCCATAGGACCTTTATCGGTGTCTTTTACCAATTTTTTTCCGAAAATAATCTTCAATATGAGAGTTGAACATCGAACAATGGAACTTAATGCGAGCAAGACATCTATATAATTTTTTTTAAACACGGAACTCACGATAGCTAAACATGTTAACCAATTTTACTAAAACTTATTTGGTTTACCTTTAGAAAAAAAAACATTTTTATTAGACGAAAATATTGCAAAAATTAATACTGAAAAAAAAAATCAAATCCGCAAATTGGTGGTCGTATTGATTTAGGTAACGGATTTTACAAGAAAATCCAAAACGACATCATTTTGGAGGCTTTCACACCCTTGCAAAAACAGCAACAGTATTGTGCATAAATGCATATTGCTTATTAAATTTTGAAACCATTTTTTTTACCTATATATTTAATAATTGTACTTTTTGTACGACTAACAATGATGAACCTCTTTTTATTTAGAGTTGAAATTGACAAGTAAAAATAATTTTCAACTTCCACATTATGAAATCAAGTCATGATACAAATATTGTTTTGAATCATTAACGTATATTGTGTAAATTATAAAAATAATGTTGTTCATATTCTTTTAATTTACTTACAGTGCTATATGGTGAAATCATAACTTTGATGAATTGTAAACTTTTAGAACAATCATCAAATCTTAAAGGTAGACAAAATTTGAAGATAAGCTAAGTAGATCATTAATGTGATAGACAAATATAGATGACAAATATAGAAATGAGTACAAAATCAACAAAAACTTCATACGAGTTTTATCCACATTATATCATATTAGTAAAACCTGATTTATTATCAAATATAGATCTGACCTAAGAGCTAGCTTCCTGCTCCACGTCATCGTGACTATCGGATGATGATTTTGAGGTTGATCCAGACTTCTCCTTTGAGTTTTCGTTCTGATTGATCATAAACAACATAATTACTTTCATAGAGTTGAGAAAATAATAGATGATTTGATAACAATCTAAAGAAGAAGGTGTAGGAATTATTACGAGATCATCGTTGAACTGTTTCAGAACGATTCCGTACTCTGCTTTCTTCACAGCTGCTTTCTCAACATATGGAGCTTTCTCCTATGAACCAGATAAACATAATCAATAACAATACAAAGGTTATTAGAACAAATTGATGGAAGTTCTGTATTATATAGTTCAGATCTGAGATCTTACAGAGTCGGACATAGCCTTCCACTTCACTCCACCTTCCTTTGCAACCTGTGTAATAAACACCTAAACTCATCAATTCGATATCACGATTATGTTTAATGAACATAAAACGATAGGATCGGTATTTTTGATAGATCATACGAACGGTTTTAATGAAGTTAATGAAACTGAAGGGAAGAGTAAAGGTAAGTGAATGAATCTCTGATACATACGATGGAGACGGATTTGTTATCAGGAAAATTCTCCTTGTATTCCTTCCTGAATTCCTCCCTGCGATATCATGAAAACAGCAACATGAGTTATATTCTAAAACATGAAACAATAATCGATCTCATTCCGATATATATACATAAACCTCGAGAACAGGAAGTATGAACAGAATAGCTTACATGAAGACGAAGAAAGCAGATGGAGGTCGCTTCGGAGCACCGGGATTTTTCTTCGACGCTTTCTCCTTCTTTGCCACACTCTTATCGGACTTCGCCTTCTTCGTTGCCCTTCAACAACATCAAACAACAAGTATGCATATAAACTTCATCAATCACCACAAGCAATCAGATATAAGAACACCGAAAGACGATGAAGAAAAAAACCGATTAACAATCTAGAAATCAATTAACAAATAAATTGAGCAGAGAATATAACATCAAATCTGAAGGAAATTAATCCAAACAATAGATAATGCATGATCGCTACGCTAATGAATCGGATCAATAATCAGTAGAACACGAAGATGATAAAAACATAGAAGAGAAGCGGAGAAAATTACTCAGGATTAAGCTTCTTCTGAGCAATGGTAGCAGTGATCTTAGGTCCTCTCATTTCTCCTTCAATGTTCTGAAACTGAGATCTGGTTTGTACGTTACGAATTGTGAGGGGAGAATGAACAAGTGAGTATTGCATGCCTGACTTTATAGCGTGAGTTGTACGAAATTTTGAAAATTTGGCGGGAAATAATTAGGTTGTTCTTGTTGGAAGTCATGACCGAATTCATATAACTGCTTTTATCGTGACCCGTAAAAGTAATATTATGTCAATTTTTATTCTAAAATAATATTTTTAAGACCAACATAGAACCCTTGGGTTGTTATTATAGTAAGTCGAATTATATTTTGGTTGATTAAATATGTTATTTGATCTATAACAAATAACATAAACTCTTAAAAACTGATTATAAGATTAAAAACACGTTTTAGAAAAAAAAATGACAACTTGATTTTTAAGAATAATTGTATTTGACCCATTTTTTTTTGCATTCTATCACTATCAAGTCCCAAATGAGGCCATTTTGAATTTGAGACATATAATGGTAACGTTCAATTTGCATTAAAAAAAACTCTTTCAACCCTATCTAAAAAATGTTTAGATTCACCATTTTTTTTTCCTTTTTGAAATGACACCATGTTTTTATACATACATAGTGTACTTGTCTTTGGTAAGTTATTATATATATATATATATATATATATATATATATATATATATATATATATATATATTGCATTTTAATAATGTTATTTTGCATGTTGTTAGTGTTTTTTGGAATTCAAAGTTCGAAATTCCCCCTATTTCAAAGTTTTAATGCTAAAGTATCTTATTTTGCGTTTCTATGTGTTATGTTGCATTATTTAAGAGAAAAAAATATAGTAGTATGCCTCCGAAATGGGGACATCCATTTCAGATATGTTTATTGGATTTCAGATATATATTTTTCGGATTTTAGAAAATATTCTTTGGATGATATGTTCTTTGATGTCCGAGATGAATTTTTTTAGGGTTTGTACTTTAAAGTAACATCATATATGTTTCATTGTGTTGATACATGCAATTAATAGTCCACAAAATAATCTAATCGAATACACAGCTTACTAGAAAAGAATCTAACAATACACCATGCTAAATGATGTTTTTTTTTTTTTTTCAATTCCATGTATTTTGATAATGTGATTATGCATGTCAGTAGTGTTTTTAAAATATCAATGTATTTTTTTCTGTGTTTGTTATATTGCTGTTTTTAAACAAAAAGTTCATTAATTAGAGTTAGCCACCATACTCTTCAATTTTTGGACATCCATTTCAGATATGTTCATTGGGTTTTATATATGTTCTATGGATTTTAAAAATGTTCTTTAGATTTCAAATATGTTATTTGGTGTCAGAATTACATATTTTCAACATTTGTACTATAAAATAACATAATATATGTTATTTGTGTTGCTACATGCAAATAATAGTTAACAAAGAAATCTAAAAAAAAAGCTAATTACCAGGAAAGTATCTAAAGAAGTTGTCATATCATATAGTTTTTTTTTTTTTTTTTTTTTTTTTTTTTTTTTTTTCAATTCCTCGTATTTTAGATTTGCCACATATACCAAAAAACCTATGAGATCCACTAGGGTTTATGGTAAGTCACTATAAAGGCACATATGATGATTTCACAAATGATCGGTCAATATCATTTAAGGGTAAACATGTCAAACAGAGGCACAAATGACACATTTGCGTCCTCTTAGGGGCCGTTTGATAGTTGTTGATTGAGTCAGTCCTGAGTCAGAGACATGACTGAGTCTTAAGTCTGACTGAGTCTACATCTGACTGAAACCATAATGTTTGATTACGCGTCTGATCGGATGTGTTGAATGATAAGAATGACCAATTTACCATTTTGTTTTGTTTGCAACTTATTATTATATAGCATTATGTATTTTAATCGTTCTAGTTTTTCAAATTCTCATTTATTTTTTTATCAATTAACATAACTGTTTACTGACCTTTATTATGTATCATTAACAGTCATCACAGGGACAGATGATTCACATCAAAAATTAAACAACAGCAACAAAGGCCACCAAGGCACCAATTGAAAATAAAATATAGAAGATAATTTCAATAGTTATACACTAAATATTCAATGGTCCAACGAAGCGAAATAGAAAAAAGGGATCTTCAAAAGATTACATTAACAAAGAAATGATGCCTGCAGTAAAAAAAAACTCATCTATTGAGGACTAGTTGCTCATCTGCAATAAAAATTATATCAAATATGATTGCAAATAATACTATATTAAACAACTTGATAAATTCTTGGTATATTTTTGTAATGATGAATTCTAACATCAAGTTTTATCAAAAACCTACGAAAATCAAATGTTTGCTTGAGGTTAAAAGAAAAACCAAAAAAGTCAATTGTTTGTGCAATTAAATGGGCAAAAAGCAAGTGATTCTTATCACATTGAGGCAAAGAAAAGCAACAAAACCAAAAAGAAAGAAAGAAGAAAAAAAAAAGAAGATTTAGGAAAAAACCGAGAGAGTGCCTTTGCAATAGTTGCATCTAAAGCACACTTTATGAAACAATTTTAAAATTGATTTTATGAAAACAGTTTCATGAATCGATTAAAGAAGAAGAATGGAGAAGATGGAAGAAGTCCCATACATGAAGAAGTCGACGATGGCAGACGTTGAATAGGGCACCGATGAGTATGTTTGCGATGGAGTACGTTGCGTCATCAAGGAGGTGAAGGAGACCTCCAGAGCGTCGCTGGGTAAATGAGGGCAAAGCTCGTCTTTCTTCTCGGTCAGCTAAATTTTTTTGGCGGACCGAATCAGCATTTTTTTTGGACCGAATCAGATGCATGGGCTGGTCAGAGGCACAATCTTTACAAATCAAACATTCTGACCGGACCGGGTCAGACGAAAGCATCTGACCGGACTGGGTCATTACCAAATCAAACAGTCCCTTAATTTGTTAGAGTTTATGGGGTCCAGGTTGAGGTTTTAGCGTTCATTGTATTACATCACAGTTAGGGTTTTAGGTTTATATTTGAAAGGGTATCATGTTAGAAATAGTGTCACACTAAGAGCTATAAAAAGAATCTAAAATAAATAATTGTTATAAAATATAAAGCTAAGTTAAAGAACAAAGTAGAAAATAAGATTGTAAAGAACTTTATTTTATTACTTGTGGTAAAAACAATCAACATTGACACTATATAATATTCACTATTTATACTTACAAAAGAAGATAAAAGGTGAGGTATATTATGAATGTTCATTATAATGTTGCATAACTACACTCATAAAACTCATAATAATGTTTGCTATAATGCTCTATAATTATGAAGAGTGATGAGAGAATATAGGGAATCCAATAGCCATTCACTAAATAATAATTCATAACACTCATCCTTGAATGACGGTTGTATAATGCCTCGTTAAAACCTTAATCGTTGAAACCTCATGGGAAAAACCCCTTATTAAGGAAAACGAGTACATGATTAATAATAGACATTGGAAATAATTTCCTCGTTAAAAACCTTGCTAAGAAAACTCAATGGGAAAAACTTAGCTAAGGAAGAGAGTACAATATGTTTCCAACTCCCCATAATGGACCCATCACTTGATTTCCTTGAAGTGCCGAATACCAATGTTTCATACCATTTTTTAAAATTTGGATGTAGGTAGTGCTATAGTGAGCAAATCGACCAATTTGTTACTTGATTGAATTTTTTGGATGTTGATGCCACACTCCTTTTGAAGATCATGAGTGAAATTTTTTTTTGGTGATATATGCTTGGTTTTTTCTCCTTTGATAAACCCTTCCTTGAATTAGGATATACAAGCCACATTATCTTCATATAATATGGTTGGAACATCCCTATTAGAAGGTAGACTACAATTCTCAAGAATAAGATGAGTTAAATTTCTTAACCAAATACATTCATGGCTTACCTCATGAATTGTTATAATCACTACATGGTTAGAAGAAGCAACAACTAAAGTTTGTTTAACAGAACGCAAATAAATTATGGTACCTCTACAATTGAATAACTAACCTGTTTGGGATCTAGTTTTGTGTGGATTAGATAAATATCCATGATCCCCATAACCAACCAACTCCACATTTGATGAATTTGAGTAGTATGAGCCCGAGATATCGAAGAATGTGTTTGACTCCATCCCAGTGTCTTCTTGTTGGGTGAGAACTATATAGTGCTAATAAGTTTATGAAAAAAGATATATCAAGTCTTGTATTATTAGCAAGATACATTAGTGCACCAATAACACTAAGATATGGTACTTCGGGACCAAGAAGTTTTTCATGTTTTCCACAAGGCCAAAATTGGTCCTTTTTGGCATCTAGGTGCCTTATCACCATCGGGTTACTCAATGGATGTGAGTTATCCATATAAACACTTTTAAACACTTTCTCTAGATAGTTAGATTGATGCACATAAATTACATTTTTGTGTGCTCAATTTGAAGACCCAAACAATATTTCGTTTTACCAGGATCTTTCATTTCGAATTTTTCTTTCAAGCAAGAAGTAGTCTTTTCCAGATCTCCACGAGTTCCAATAATGTTCAAATCATATATGTAAAAAACAATTATGATAAATTTTGATCCAAGTCTTTTTATGAATACATATGAGCTTATAGGATCATTTTTGTAGCCTTCTTTCAACAAAAATATACTTAAGGAACTAAACCACCTACGACCAGATTGCTTCAATCCATACAGATATTGATTTAATTTAATGAATATACTTCTCGAGAATTAGAAGTTTGTGCTTATGGCACCTAAACCCTTCTGGGATTTTCATATAAATATCATTCTCAAGTGAACCATATAAATAGGCAGTAACTACACCCATTAGACACATATCCTATTTTGAATGCGTTGCTAGACTTATTGGATAACAAAATGTAATTACATCAACCATAGGAGAGTACATTTCTTCATAATCAATTTCGGGCCTTTGGGTAAAACCTCATGTAAAGAATCTTGCTTTATATCTCACAACTTCATTTTTCTTATTTCTTTTATGCACAAATACCCATTTGTGTCCTACTCGTCTTACCACATTTGGTGTACGAACTACAGGTCCAAAAAATTTTCGTTGAGTA